TTTCGCAGCGGATTTGGGCTGTGCTCAGCAAGCACAGTACAACCCCATAGTCAGATTACAAAAACAATCAGTGCATGACTGTTTACTGACTGGCCGCCAGACCGCCAACCGGTCATCCCGACCAATCGGAGGTTGGCGGGTATCCAACCCTGTGGTGGACACAGAAATCCAGGCACAATGGAAGGTGGTGTTGAGAAAGATGAACACAGTGGTAGATGAGCAACAGAAGACACTCTGGCGAAAGCAATTTGAACATATCATGATATCTGGTTGAAGATATCAGACTCTATTAGGGCTTCCATTTGAGCTCTGGACTGCATTTACAACAGTTATGTTCAATATGCGTCCCTTCATTATGGCCATCGGACCCCAAGGCATCGGCAGTGATTGCTTCCTCTTCCAGAAGGATGTACCACCCCTCAGCCCCTGTTTCCGCTTCAGTCTCTACCTCTCTCGTATTGGACTCGAGCCTCTGTTAGCTTGCCAAGAAACCAAGCAGCATCATACACATGGAACCAGATAGTCTTGACCTCGAACCAAAAGCAGAATTGCAACTCGAGTTCCACCAAATAAGAGCACAGCAATGGAATAGTCTCATCATCATCAACAATGAACCAATGTTGAATTCCTATCTGGCGCTCAGCGCCCAGACTACAAATGGCAGATCCTATCTAGCCTATCTACAATGTCGCTGGTGACGTCAAGAGCTTCCCGAAGTACGAGCAGATCTCGGCCAATGCCGTTCGCCTCAAGCACCAGGTATGTCTCACGCTTCACTCACATCCACGATCCCCCACACAGATGCCACGTGCACCCAAGGACCACCATGCGCCCCATCCAGCATCTCGCAGGCCAGCTCGGCTATGGCTGCCTGCGTGTACCCTGCTCGCCCGTGAGCGCTTGCTCAGCAAGTAGCAAGTGCCCGAAATGCGGAGGCAGGCACTTTCTTTTATCAAAGTGGCCTTCCTGATGCGTGCTGCCTGGCTGCGCTGGGACCCTGCCCAGAAGCTTCCGGTAGGCCCCAAGAAGTGCCCGAAATGCTGAGGCAGGCACTTTCTTTTATCAAAGTGGCATGCCTGCTGCGTGCGGCCTGGCTGCGCTGGGACCCTGCCCAGAAGCTTCTGGTAGGCCCCAAGTTGCTTAGCCCCTGACCCAGGGAATCAGACGCAGGGCCTGGGGTGGTTACCCATGTCCAACTGCCAGCGGCCTATGTTCAGTCCATGCCCCGTGTCTGGCCCAGGGCCTGCCTCAGATTCATTTGGAAAAAGGCAGGCAGGGCCTGTGCTCACTCAACCAACTGGTGCTGCGCAACTGCATGAATTTCCCAGCTGCGTTCAACCCAGCAAAATTGGCCTCTTGTGCCTTGTCAGGCGCGCCTTCACTTAGGGCGGCCGTTCTGGCTGAAACAGGGCCCAGTAGGGCTTACCGAGGCCTTGAGCCTCGCACCTCCATTTACTAAAGAGAAGGGCATTCCCTTTATCTTTGGTTCTTTTTAAAAAAAATAGAACGACTGGTGCCTACGATCACCTAGATTCTCAAACTACAGCTAACACTCCTTTGTATAATTTGTTTGGTTGCTCTCTGTGGTACCGCGGTACCTGTGCTTTTTCATCGATTAGCTCAAAGAGAAGTTTCCACTGGTGCTCCTTTCTTTAATGGTACTATAATACCTTTTTTTCTGCGATTTTTCCTTCATACAGCCAATTTCCTCCAGAGTTCGTTCACAAGAGTACTTTCCTTGTTCATCCAAGAGGCATCACCCTCCTAGTTCAAATTCCTATAACGTTGTCTCCATCTCGATACTTCCTGTCCCTCTGGAGTTCATTCAGAAGTCTCTCCCCTCCAATTACTAAAGAGAAGGGCATTTCCTTTATCTTTGGTGCTTTTAAAAAAGAATAGAACGACTGGCGCCTACGATCACCTATCTGAAATCAAACAGATTCTCAAACTACAGCTAATGCTCCTTTGTATAATTTGTTTGGTTGCTCTCTGTGGTACCGCGGTAGCTGTGCTTTTTCATCTATTAGCTCAAAGAGAAGTTTCCACTGGTGCTCCCTTCTTTCATGGTACTATAATACCTTTTTTTAAGCTTTTTTCTGCGATTTTTCCTTCATACAGCCAATTTCCTCCAGAGTTCTTTCACAAGAGTACTTTCTTTGTTCATCCAAGAGGCCTCAGAATGGATTCCCTACTTTGTGGGAACCATCGCAAATCAGTTATATGGAAAAAGGTGTGTTCTTTACAGGAGATATCCATCACAACTCAAGAAGAAGTGGAATGAAACATAAGGGAGAGGAAGAAGAAAACAAGATAGAACCAATGCCCTCTCCCTCGTCCTCTCTCCTCGAGTCCTCGTTCATCAACATTCACACAATCTCGTCCTTGTTTTGTTTGCAAGGACAGCAACACCACTCAGACATACAGCACAGAGCAACAGACAACAACAACAGGTCCCGGGATCGGATCATGGCAGGTAAGGATCAATTTAATAACAAATAAATAATGAATGAATAAACAAAGAATCCAAATGTCCACTTGATCTCCCTCATTCCCAATGCAGAAAGTAACTTTCCGTTAGCTCTCCGTTCTCTCTCCGCCCCTCTGGATAATGCTTGTGCATATACCGGATTATCCCTGGATTACACGGGATGTACAAAGAACAAAACAGTACTTCTACTCCTCTCTCCATACCACAGCCATGCCTAACCAGTGCCCCAACGGGGCCATCTTGAAGTAGCACGAACCAAGGACGTGAATACAAAGGACCACCATAGCCAAAAGCAGGTCCTCTCGTTGATTCCTTCCCTCTTCCTTCTCCTCTCTGAAGTCTCCCACTTGATTCCATAGCCTAATGTGGGCTTCTACTTCCTCTCTCCATGGCCAGACTATTCCCCCTCTTGTCCATTTTACTCCTCCACAGCCATAAAGGTATTCTTCATCACCCTCAAATGCCTCATCACCCTTAAGCTGCCAACTTCTCCCTCTGGCCAGAGAAGCAGCATGACTGCTGAGTGAATGCCCAAACTTCCCCAGGACACTGAAAGATGTACTCTTACCCTGGGCACACCTGCATGAATTCTCACGCCTACCAGTGTGTGGGTTATTGCAGAAATATAGCCATGATTTGGATTTCTGCCTTATACAGTTTTGCTTCTCCATCTGGATCCTGGAGACTAAACTGTGGTGGCAGCCAGTGTCTGCTCCTTCTAATGCTCTCTCGCTTCCAAGTCTTCATTCTGTTGATGGCCACACTGATCACCGCAGCAATGGTGGATGATTGAACCCACCTTTGATCAGCTTCCTCAAGACAATGATGACAGGTGTGCGGCCCTGATCATGTAGCGAAATCAACAGCAAGTCAGGCCAGATAGGAGGTAGCCAATTTGGCCAAGGGTGGCTCATCATGGGAAGTGGGTAATCGAGTGACCCTGCCGCTTCTTGCCTTGAATTGCTAAGGGGAGGGAACCTGACCCAGCCAGGAGCTGAAGTGCAGCGAATGAGATTGAACTGGTGCCACTGCCACTTGGTGGCATTTGACATGTTCCCATTAAAATGCCGAGTTTGACTCTCAGGGGCTTGTGCTGCACTCTTTGTGGGGCCTACGTAGCATGACGGTTTGCCGCTTCCTTATGACGTGGAGTTGAACAGGGTTTGAGCTGTTGGTTGTTCAATTCAGCCAGTCGCCAGGCACAAATCACTTCATCCATTCAACATTTATTGTATCTAATCGAAATCTGATGAAATTATTGAAGGCAGAGGGCCTTGCATGAAGAGCCACATCCTGCATCCTTCCTTGCCTCTGAAACATTGAGGAGTTATGTTGTCCAGCCTTAAGAAGATGTCTTGTAGAGTTTAACTTGTGGGAAGTTTCTTGCTAGGATGAACAGGCCAGCAGGGAAAAAAAGGCATAAAGTTTGATGGTTTCTTGTGTTTTTTTTTCGTCTTTGTATCGATGATGCACGTGTTCTCTGGCAACACAGACTGCAGAATAGGGGTGGGTAGCAGTGGGTTGTTTGTTTTTTGTTGTTGTTTTTTCGTTGTGCTGCTCGTCATCAATGATCATTTGTTTCTTTCGCTTTGTCGTCGTGCACTTGTTTCTCTCTGTCACTAGCTCAGGTGGCCGGGTGTAGTGAGGAAGACAAGGATTTTGCATGTTTGTTGCTGATCTTTATTTCATTGCTCTGTTGCTGTGCAGTGTTCTTCTTTCTTTGCTACCTCATGTGGCCAGGTGTGGCAAGGAAGACAAGGATTTTGCTTGTGTTGTATTGCTGCCTTCATTTCAGTATTCTTTATGCATTCAGAATACCCTGGTCCAAAAGTTTGCGCAAGGAAGAGTGGCAGCACATTCTGCAGCTGATTGGTAAAGCTCGTCCTCGCTTCTCTCAATGATTGTGTGTGTGTGTGTGTGTGTGTGTGTGTGTGTGTGTGTGTGTTGTCAAGAAACCCCTCTCATTCCATCTACAAGCCATCCCAAATCCGCACCCACTCTTTCAGGTCGAATTCGAGGTCTGCAATGCTGACGTCCGGCTGGAAGATTTTCCAGGGCTTGCCCTTTGAGACCCTCACTTTTCTCAGTTGCAAGGCTTCTAGTATGTCGCACTGGGGTTCTTTGTTCAGGATTTCCAGCTCTTGTAGGCTGTAATTATCAATGGGGTACGAGTAGAATTGGGATAGGTAGCTGCGTGGATCGATTCGAGAGACAAACCAATATGCTTTGGTAGGCTGGGATTGGGAGATGAATATGCCCCTCCATGAAAAATCCTCCCTTAGGAGGGAGAGCCACTGTGTTGGAATGCTCTTCTGAATCAATGTTCGGTTTTTAGTTAGGGAGTGGCAGCCCTTTAAATCATTTCGGAGCTCCTGTTCTGTAGACCATTGTCCTCGATCTTCTGCCCAGATGTTCTTTCACCTGCCACACCCCTTTTTCCACCCAGGACAGCCATCTCCAGTCCTTTGTGCGTGGTGTCCACGGCACCCCACTAGGGTCTATGATCCAGGGGTTGCAGAAGAGAGGTTGTCTCAGGACCTCTTCTCTGTTTCCTGGTTAACCGTGTTTGCTTGGCATCATTCTGCGCCAGGCTTTGATGGTAGGGCTCCAGTAAGAGATAGCTGTATGGGTGGGGGTTGTGATAGGCTCTGTTGGGTTTCTTTTGCGAGGTCTGCCTGATTTGGTTGTCCAGTCCTTCTCCATTAACCAGAAGAGGCCTCTCATATTCGGGGGGAGTAGATAGGTGCCAGGTTTCTGATACTGTTTAGAGCCATCTGGTCCATGGAATGAATTGTCTAATCAGGATCTTGATAATCCATTTCATCTGTTGTGCTATGGACTCCTGTTTGGGGTCAATTAGCCCAAGGTCCCCCTCCTGTGGTTTCCTAATGATGTGGTTGCGGGCTACCCTGTTGATACATGTGGTCCTATTGGGGTCTCCTGTCCATAGATAATATCTCGCCCTGTTCTTTAACGTTTTGAGGTCATCGTCAGGGAGGGACCAGACGGATGCCATGAACCACAGTGTGGAGAAGATTGCTGTATTAATTAGTAGAGCTCTTCCGATTAGTGAAGCCTGAGCGTTTTTGCATGGGGCCAAGCGGGTGATTGCCCTGGCAACTTGGTTTTGACCCATACCTAGCCATACCCTGTCCTTGTAAACCATGATACCGAGGAAACACAGTGCTTGATCTCCCGTTGTCCATGACATGGGTGTGGCTGTGTCAGTTAGTTGCGGAGGGGTACCGTCTGCTAACCACCAGCCTTTAGTTTTGCCCCAATTGACCTTCATTTGTGACGCCAGTCTGAAGGCTTCCATTGCTCTTATGAGGGTTTGGAAAGAGCAATTATTGGCACGAATGAGGACAGTAAGCCATCGGCAAACATTAGTGCAGAGGGTAGAGTGAAGTCGTGTAATGGATTGAAGTTGTGTTCACTAAGGCGGTCGATGGATGGGTCTTTCCGAAGGAAGGAAGCTATGGTTTCCATAATGAAGAGGAATATGGGCGGAGTCTGCGGACCCAATGGGGCGTCGTGTTTGGCGATCTTGATATCAGGTAGGTCTCCGATAGGATCCTATTGACCTGGACTCTGCCTGTTGCGTCTGAATAAAGGACTTTCACCCAATCTCTGAAGTACGTGCCTACTCCCATTTTCTCCATGCACGCATGTAGAAAATCCCAATTGACTTGATTGTAGGCCTTTTCGAAGTAAAAAAACAGGATTGCAGCCTTCATTGGTTTTTTTGCAATCTTCTTTGCTGCCTCATTCAACGACATCATGTTGTCTGGTATGTATCGGCCTGGGATAAAGCCTGCTTGGTCGATGTGAAAGCATTTGTTTGTTAGTTTTGTGATTCTATTCGCAAGAGCGGTAGCGAGGATGTTGTAGCCGGTGGTGAGTAGTGATATGGGTTTGTAGTTCTTTAGCTCTTCTTTGTCTCCTTTCTTATGCATCAATGATACCACACTGATGTTTAGTTCGTTGCCTAGGCCTCCTTTTTGCCTGCTGTCGTTGAAAAAATTGAGCAGGTCCTCTCCTACGGTTGGCCAGAAGCAGCTCTAAAATTCTTTTGAGAGGCAGTTGCGAGGCCACTGCCTCTATGAGCCCCAATCGACCCCTTTTTGGGAGCCTGTCGGCCGCCCTAAGTGAAGGCAGGCTCGACGAGGCCCCTCAGGGCCTTACTTCGGCCTCTGCGCAACTAAGGAAATTCAGGCAGTTGCGCAGCGCCAGTTGGTTGAGAAAACCCAGRCCCTGGGCCGCCTGTGTGAATGAATGGAAAGCAGGCCCTGGGCTGGATACGGGTAYTGGGCCAAACACATGCCAAAGGCAGTTGGGYGCATGCAACCACCTCAGGCCCCAGGCCKGTTCTCGATCGTGCTGGGCCTCAGGCTACCRGGGCCTACTGGAAGCTTCCTGGGACTGGAYGCAGGCAGGCCACTTCGATATAGCAAAGGGCCTGCCTCCTCATTCGGATTCSGGYGCTGGCTGCATGCTGCGMARGCGCTGCTGCKCYATTTGCTGGCTGGCGCCTAYGCGCTCACGGGCGAGCAGGGAAGGAGCAGGCAGCCATAGCCGAGCTGCGCTGCTGTAAGCTGGGTGTGGCGCAGGGTGGTCCTTGGGTGCAAGTGGCATCTGTGTGTTGGGGAACGAGGTTGTGAGTGAGGCGAGAGACATACCTGGTGCTGGAAGCATGCGACATTGGTCGCTGTATGCTCGTACTTCGGGAAAGCTGTTGACGTCATCATTCGGCATTGTAGGCTAGGCTAGATAGGATCTGCCATCTGTAGTCTGGGCGCCGAGCGCCAAATATCTTCATTGATGATGATGATGAGACTTTACCAGCATTGTCAATTATGAGCTCTTGGTGTCTTCTTATTTGGTGAAACTCGTGATGCAATTCTGCTGTTGGTTCGAGGTCACGACCATGTGGTCTTGTGTATATGATGCTGTTTGATTGATGAAGTTCGCTATTGCTCATCTTCCTTGCAATTTGGTATCGGAGTTGTGGTACGATTGCGCTCATCTGGCGCTTGTCTTCTGCCTTATRCGGTACATACATGCGGCCTGCTGGCGAGTTTGGTCGTAAGTGGTGTGTAGTGAGGAGGGCGGAGACGAGTGATAGGCGACCCAGGAGGTGAGGGGATCGCCAGGAAGGCTACGTGGTGTAATGTGGGTGATGGACAGTGTGATGAGAACTATCTAATGTGCGATTGGTGCTGAGGTGGAACGGCGTGCAATGCTGGTTGTGCCGAAGCAATGACTGGTCATCACAATCGGCATCTGGTCATCTGGTGAGATTATCTCTGTGGTTGGGGGCAGCTATTTGAGGTACGTTGCTCTTAACCTTATCTACCCTCTTCGACACTTCTTACCGTGAGGTTGTGTGTTCCTTCTTGAGAGTCCTCTCATTGTGAGGTGTCGAGTGCGCTCAACCTTGAGAGTCGGCAATGTTCACGTGGAGCATCTGRGAGAAGATGGGCGGAGCTTTCTGAAGGGCCCTGGACGAAGCACTGGGTCACGGTCACCATGCCAACCCACCGGGAGTAGAGCATGCATGCTTTGCTGCTTGTCCTTTGTTTGGCTTGCTGCGCTGTTAGATGGGTGCTGAAGGGCAGGCCAGCCCTAAGTGGGAGACGAGAACCGGGCGTCTTTAAATAACCACCGGTAGGGGAAACCATTGGTTGTGATCGTCGTCCGGCTGCGACGTAAAATAATTCCTGGAGTCACTTGGAGGCGGACGCCAAACCGCCTCTGGATCAGCCAATGGTTGTAAGGCTCGCTGCACGCGAGGATAATCCAGTGCAGGAATGGCCAGCTGAGCAGATTACTCGGGGCACAGGGGTGGGCCGAACACAACTTTTAGACACGCAACTCTCTCCCGATTGCTCAGGGACGCTAACGTCAAGTGACATTCAGGGGAACTAAGGGAGGGGTAGATTTCAGGTGATAAGTTCGAGAAGAATTCCATATTGTCCTATCCACACAAATGATTCTATTTTTATGTTTTGATTAGTTAGATGTACAGCCATTTGACATATGACAGACAATAGGACGGTATTTTGTTCATTGTGCGTTCTGTTTGCGGACTAATCAGGCTAAAAATAGTTTCGTTTGTAGGAATCTGCCTTACCTGTTGACCCCCAGTGATATCTACTCCGAAATAGCCACCAATTAATTAGTTGGTATGTGCACTATGCTGCGGTAGGCATCCAGTGTGCATTAGTGCAGATTGCGTACAGTGTTGTAGCTTATGAGCGACGAGGAGAACACTAGAGAGGATGACTGGATCTTGCGATCGGCAAGGCGCCCGATTGCCCACTTGGCATTAGGACCAGAGGGTGACATGTACCTGTTCCGCCACCGTAGAGGTAGGTTGCAGCAGCAGAGGAGGGCTAGAGCAGCAGAGGCTAGCCGGACACTTGTGAGTGAAGCCGCAGCTTCAGAAGCTATGGCTACTTCTGCGCAGCAGACTACTCAGGCCGGTAGTTCAGGATTTGTCGGGTCAACGGTCGTGCAGACCCAGAGTCAGTCCACTGGCGTAATGACAAGCCAGCCAATAGTGTTGACTTCAGACGAGATCGCCATACGAAGAGCGGAAGTCATGACCATATCCTTGGAGTTGCACCAAACCGCTCAACCATCGTGTTGCACTACCCTCTAGATAGGATGCAGCCACAAGCACTTCCTCGTGCGGCAAGGTAAGCTTACACTTGACATAGACCGGCACTACCCTCAACCACGTGTCGAGGTCTTCGCCCCTCTTATCCCCTGTGAAAGGTTTGGGAGTGGCGATGGCCATCTTTGGAACCCACTGTGTTTGTCCCGGTCCCTGCATCACTCCGGGCTGTGGACCCTGTGACACAGGTTGCTGTGCTAGCTGCTGGGGCTGTGTACCCTGCGGGCGTACAAACTGCGAGACGACAGGCTGCGTGGTAACCGCAACCTGCAACGGAGATTGGGTGAACACTGTCTGCACAGGAACCTGCAAACTAGATCCTGTTGATACCCCTCCTGATAGCGGCATGCCCAGGGAAACGATCGCGACCGATGATGGGGCTACATATGGGGATACCTCAATCATCGATGGGACAAAAGGAGGAGGCTGTACAACGGGCCAGGCACCAGGCCCGGACATTGGCGACGTTGCCTGCGCTCGCCCAACCAACAGGACGAGACTTTGTTGAATGTCCTGAAGGATGGTTGTTTGATGGTCCTGCATTTAGCAGGACGGACCATACGATCCTCACATCATCAGTCATGTGCGTCAAGTCCGCTTGTCTCCGCTGCATCCTGGCTCTTCTTCTAATCATCCTTTCCTTCTCCACTTTTATCTCTCCTAATGCCTTTTGTAGTTGTGCCTCCTGCAATGCAGCCCACCAGAAACTGGAGGACTTCCTCAAGATGGTGGAGGAAAGGTGGCATGATCCTCAGGAGGCTCAAAAGGCCACTGACGCGATCTTGACACTGTAAACAAGGCAGTTTAAGTCAATCAGGGAGGCCACCGACGCTGTAGAGCGTCTAATCTGTGTCCCTAGGGTGCGCTATGACCCCCAGGTTTTACTCACCTCCTACCTGAGATGCTTTCCAATGCCTCTCAGGAATCAGTTAGCAGGTGAGGCCAACATCAACGTTCACAACTTCCCCTCGTTCAGCAAGAAGGCCCTAGACCTTGAAGCGAAGATAGGGCATGGACATGATCCCACGACGGACAGTAGGAAGAAGACACTGCCTCCCAACAGGAAGGTGAAGGGTCGTATTATGTTTGTCGATAACGATGGTTCAACCATCGAATTAGACGACAACTTCCAGGAAGGAGTAGGTTCAGAGGCAGGCAGCTTAGAAGCTTCAAAGGGTGGAGTAGTCGCTGTCGTAGCTCAGAAAGGTAAGGTGACCGGTAGATGTCGTGGAGGTTCCCGGTCTAGGAGTCAAGTTGACCCCAATGCTCCTCCATGGGAGAAAGCGGGTCTCACAGAGGATGTGTGGAGAGATCGGTACCCACGGCAGGCTTGCATTCGTTGTGGCCAATACGGCCATAACCAGTTCAAGTGCCGAAACAAGAAGGTGACCGAGAAGATCCCACCTACGATGGGGCAGGCGTTGGGGTCCTCCCATCCCGTTGGTGGCGACGTAGCTAGTACTTCTGGCAGTGCTTCGGGAAACACGTCGGGCCAGTAGGAATAGTAGTTGTTCCTGCTAGGGTCGAGGTGGTGGAGACACCCTCACCATCTCGAGAGATGGCCCAAGCTACTGACTCCAGTGTCGTCCCGCAAACACGTTCAGACCCATCGAGACTCTGTTCGATGAATGTGTTCGAGTCCTTAGAGGAGCTAGAGGAGGAGTGGTCTGGATCAGATCCTCTAGCTTCTTGGACGGCCCTAGTCAAAGCCCCAAAGGGTGAGATGTTCGTCAGCGAGGTGGTCATTGGCGGCCTCAAGGCCGGGGCTTATTATGACACTTGCTCGACTAGGAACTTTATTAGCCGCGCATGCGTTGAGAGGCTGCGCTTACAGGGGCTAGTGCAGCGCCTGAGTCGACCTGTGGAGTCGACCTGTGCCAACAAACAACGCATGGTAGTCAACGACGACCTTCAAGATGTTGAGTGTTGTTTCCCGTACGTGGGAGGGGAATTGAGGCATCGCGTCTCGTTCCTAGTGAGCGATGAACTCCCCATGGACATGTTGTTAGGTATGTACTACCTCTCTGTGGCACAACGCCAGTTTGACTGGGACCGAAAAGTGGTCAAACACACTTTGCCAGGTGGAGGGACCGCCAGATTATGTAAGTTTAAAGCTAGTAGTCTGATCGAGTCCCATGGATGCATGTGTGAGGCCACGTTCTATAACTATTATAAGCAACAAGTGGAACCCGCCAGGGCCACGCCGTGGCGCACAGCAACACTCGGTGATGGCGTTTTATTTTTGTTTCATCTCTCTCTCTCTCTCTCTCTCTCTCTCTCTCTCTCTCTCTCTCTCTCTCTCTCTCTCTTCGTTTCTTCCCATGTTGTGCTTGGCGGGCATCGGTGCTTGTCGTATGCTCTGTCTGTTTCTCTCTCTCTCTCTCTCTCTCTCTCTCTCTCTCTCTCTCTCTCTCTCT